TCTTCTGCAATTTCAAGTTGAACTATAGACACAACTTCCATGCTAGAAAAGTATCTTCTGAACATACAACTGCCATCAGTGGCCAGCTCATTTTGCAGTCAGAATTCATAACTTCGAGGTGTGCCAACCATGCATGCAAATGTTATCAGGTCAAAGCAGTAAAAATTTTAACTCATCTAACCAATAGTTCCTTTTACAGTTCTCAATCATATAGTTGATCTCCATATGCAACACGTTTTTCGACAATCCTTGATAAGTAGCTGAAATATTTCCTGCTAACGCGTCTGGCTGAATAACCTCCTACAGTAAATGTACATCACACTGTCAACTAGAAAGCAGATATTGTTATCCAACTATTATACTATGACTTAGATTCATATTTTAACTTAGATAGACTTAGATAGATATTTTAACCTATTCAAGTGAATATTATATTCCTGCGCTATATATGTATATATATATATATATGTAGAAGCAAATATGCATATGTATATATACATAAATATGTATGTATATATATATATTGAGAGAGAGAGAAGTTCGTAATAGTATGGATTACATTTATGACTGCTTGTTTCGATGCTATGTTCACGCGTCATTTTCTCGCGTCATTTCTTCGACGACTTCCTAGGCCAATCATGAATGTAATCCGTATGCAATTACGCACTTTTCTACAAGCTCTCATTCTGGGTGTTCTTTAAGAAGAACCAAAACATGACTTGCGCAGTTACATCGAAATACTGAGGATCTATAGTAGATACCTTTGGTCTGTCTTGCAAAAGCGCGCAGCAAAAGAGTCCAGAAGATTTTGGCTCTTGTGCACAAAACCCTGAACGCAAAAGCCTATTATATTTTTTTAAATTTTAATGTACGAAGTTGGATTTAGGTTGTAAATGAAATTAATAAGAGGCTTAGGGATATACTGATCACAGGATATATTCTGTTAGGTTAGTACAAAAGGTTTTTTTTTATTTTCTGAGATTGTTAACAAATTTATAGTCACTTAAAGTCAGTACAGCTTCGACGATTCACAAACTGACTATCATGATCACTCATCCGCTCCCAATATTGCCACTACCGAACAGTTGTTCAGACTGAAACTGCAGAAAAGTTGACTATATACTATTCCACGGGTTTCAGTTTAGGTACATTACTCTTTGAGAACATTTTAAACTTACCTGACATCAGTTTATCTTGAGTGATTCTTACTATGTGTAGCCGGCCACAGTGAAATTACTTCCAGGATATTTGCCTCCGGACGTAATCAATGTATTACCTATCAATGATATTGACTCTCTGTTTTAGTCTGAGCTGCAACTTAAGAAATTTGCAAACGTCTGCGCTGAAGTTCATAAACATTTTACGGAAGCGGTGTAATATTTATATCCGGCGGAAATATTTCTGTCATTGTGACACCTTGGACATCTCATCAAAGATATCATCTGTCTTTTAGGGTTGTAACCCAGCTTTTGATGTCTGTCTCTGAAATGGATCTTTTTCTACCCAATAATGCTTGAAACATTCATACACTCCACCAGCCGTTCATTCTCAGGGATTCATACACTGGTGACTCATTGATCAACGCCTGAAAATCCTCACATTTTTCCTGGAGACCTATACTATACGATTTTCATTCATTGATCACCGTTATGCTGCAACAGCTTATAAGCGAACCAAAGTTAAAAGGGAACCAACCTTTTCTACATGACTGTATTTAAAAAACTGTAACAGAATGATCATATCGAAATTTGATATGTTAAACGAGTGTTTAATTCTATCAGTTGTTTCATTACTTATTTATACGTCTGATTATCTCTCTCAAGTCACATCCTCTATGCTGTACTTTGAAATTTTCGACACTTTGCTTGGATATTTTCTACCCGAATAGCTGGAACAAACCTTAATTACATTAAAACTGACGTGATTATATTAAGATTCACATAAAAATTGTAAAATATTTTATGGTGCAAAACCTCGTGTTTTTAATATCTAACATATTTTAATATTAATGCTCTAATGAAACTGAAGCAATAATAATCTTAATTACTTAACACACTCGGCTCTAACCCCATTTAGATATAACAATACTAAAAATTTCAGACTAATTTTAAAAAGCAATTCATAAAGATCCAAAACCCTTGTACACCAACTTAGTGGATGTCATTCAGAGTTATCATACTATCCTTTAAAGTAATATTTTTCAACAAAATTAGCTTAAATAATTTTGAAATAATGATCCTCTTTGCACTATATTTGTAATTTCATTGCATTCAAAATTCTTCTAGATCATCATCATTAAAGCTGGGATCTCGTAAAGTGTTATAAATTTTAATTTTATTTAGCACAGTATGTGTTTTGTAACATAATAAAAATAAAATATTCATTATGCTTTCTAAAAAAGATAAAATAAGGAATATCCATCTTTGGAGAAATTATGATGCTGTCTGTATTAGTGTTGAGAACTTTCGTAAGAATATTCAAATCATTAAAACGTTTGTCGTAATTTTATGATCAATTTGACATTAACTGGCAAAATGTGAATTTTCATTGGTTTGTCCAATCATATTAATCTTACCCACATAATTTATCATAAAACAAAACTTGTTTACCTGTAAACAAGGAAATAGGTTTTTGTCAGGTTGTACTAATTAATTTAAATCTTAAGAATGTATTTATAACCAGAAAATTACTAAATTACGTGGCAAAAGCATTGGGTGTTTACATTTTTACTATGTTTGAAAATAAATATTAAATAATAAATATAAATAAAATAAAGTATTGCCTAAAATTCCTTGATATTTTTAATTATTTGCATTCAACCAAAGCTGAAAAAAATATTATGCAACGCATTAAAGAGGATTCCGAAAGAATTGGATCCTTTTTTTTCCAGGTCTTTAAAATTGTATAATTTGTTGATTTTTTCTTCAACTGTGCGTAGGCTATTATATCATATTAAATAAAACCTTTTATGATGCTATCTTAATCGCATTTGACTCAAAGCAATAGCTGTTTTGTCCCAAGTTCAACTTTCTGTAGTTCTTCTACTGTTAACATGGGTATTTCCGCTAATTTTATTCTATATAACAAACATTCTAATTATCTGCTCATAGAAAATTCTTTACGAAGGCCTGTCTTGCCATGCCGATGCTCTCTTTTCTTTCGCCATTACTAACTATCTGAATCTAACCCATGCATTATAATTATATGGCTGTTTTACATTTGTTATGAATTGAATATATGATACGATGCGCTAATTAATTTTCAAATCTAAAATAGTAGTAACAGAAATGTTTAGTACCTGCTTGTAGCATATAATGACGCGAGCAATGGAGAACAGCCCTGGCATCTGCTCATCAAAAGGCTATTTGAATAGCATCTTCAGTTTTTATTGAGTGACGTAATCAAATAAGTACCCAAAGATAAGAGGCATCCTTATTTTTTGCATCATATAAACCGGACTTTGAGATTTCGTGTTAATGTTTTAATGTGTGCTTGGATTGTAAATCCCGCTTGCGTTATTATTAAACTTAAAACTTTTATATTACTTAAAACTATCTTAAGTACCTGAAAGTATGGATTTAAAGAGATATGATAAACTAATGAAAGGAAATTGTATCTGCATTCGTATCTTAATCATTCGAGTTAGCCGGAGGCTTAAAATCTTAAGCCTGAAAAAAATCTTATTTAAGTATATTTGATAATCAAAGTAGTTACGCCGTTAGCTGAAATAATTACGGTACCACTTACCAAGGGGTAGTATAAAGTTAGAAGAGAAAAGTCTGCAAACAAGAAAAATATTTGTGTAATCCCATTGAAATTAAAATCAAACTAAACTCCTCATATGAAACATTTATAAAATTATTTTAGCAGCCAGACAAGAAACTAGAACCACCAAAACCAGAATAATAGAAAGCGATTTTTAGCTACAGCAGAGTATTAGGTTTTAAATAACTTTTACATGCTACAGACTTTTCTAATACACATAAATGATTTCTGTTTCTTTCAGTATTAAAGTAATAAATTTTTCTTAATATATGTACAGTATTAAACTGATATGATATATATCTCAGTCTTATCGCTTCTAAATTTAATAAACAGAAATGCACGGAAAATTTATAAAATAATTTTGAAGAACTAAGTGTTTAATAAAATATCCTGTAAAACTATATTTTATGTTTTTAAATTTATGTAAATTTTGAGAATAAGATATCGCATTTTTACAAGTAACATTACTTATTTCTTCTCCTCTTTCATTCTCGGTTAAAAATTTCTTTAAATATAACATTACTTATTTCTTCTCCTCTTTCATTTTCAGTTAAAAATTTCTTTAGGTAACTTACTCCTGTGTAATTAAACTTTGATTAGTAGATATTTGCATAATGTAGTCCTTTCTTAATAATTGTTTCTTTATAAAATAATTAAAATTTATTTAAATATATTTATATAGCAGTAAATTTGCACTTGAAACAGACACTGCGTTTTTATCATAATAACCCAAAACAGAAAGAGATAATTTGTGTGATATCCTTTACGAATTTAATTACTCAAATAATACTTTTTCATTAGATGTTATTTTTGTATCTATATGCCTTTTCTTGGATATTACGCAAGCTTACAATAATATTATAATGATTGTAATATTTTCCTCATATACTGTACCTGTGATCTTGAACCTTCATTTTTTAAGGTACCTTAAAATGACAATATTCTTCTCTATATCATAACTGCACTGGCAATGTTGCACGCCCTTTCCGGTTTTGAGCAACAATTATATTTCATGTTATTGTATATTTGTGCACTTAGCAGCACAGATATCATTTATACACACGTATAATATTCACATCTAAAGAATATTACAATACAGACCACACCACTCAAAAGTGCTAACATGTTTAGGATGCGCTTTATCGCATTTCTGGAGAAAGAGCAAGGAAAAGGCTTCCATGGTTGGCGTAGTTAATGCACGTCATTAATGGTGTTGATATTCGCTGTATTCTTAGATGGATGGCATAGCAACATTTACCCACACCGTTGGCCTCTACAGGTATCTGATTGGTAACTGCGGTGAACCCTGTGCCTCCAAGGTGAGTGTGAGAATACATCCATACCCATTTTTCTCAAAACTGTTGGAATAAATCTCCTACATAAAGTTGTACGAATGCAGCAAGTGTTATGTACTTATATAACTTGCTATAATGAAATATGTGCATTAAGAAAATCGTAAAGTACGAATATATTAAATATAACGATCCTCCCTCTTGAAGAGCAAACCTGAAACATAAACCAGTAGCAGATGAAAAATGAGAAAAGCAATTTCCCTAAAAAAATTAAAATAATCCTGCATATAATATAAGTAGAATTGGAAAAAGTATCAAGAAAATTCAGTATGCTAAATTTTATAAAATGATACATATCAGAAACAAAAAATATTGATTAATTTAAAGTATTTTTAGTCAAGGAATAATAACTGTAATTAAATCAAACAAAATCACATAGGTTATGCTTCTACAATTTTGTAATGAAGAACCAGCAATGAAATGAAAACTTTTCGAATTTTCAGATATTTTTAATTTAATTTTATTTGATATCTCCTCACACTAGTTTTGCTCTTCATGAGGAAGCCTCGCTATACATGTACTTTTTTGTCTCTTTTAACATTTGCTGTCTACAATTATTCTCATTCGCTGTATATGCACTTTAATCTAATTAAATTTATCTTTATACATTTCTCCGTTATATTTTTGGATAATAGCTTGTACTATATATTTTGAAAGTCGTCAGAAACCTCTGAAGTGGTTTCATGCTTCGAATAATACAAATTTCCAACTAAATCATTTCTTCAGATTGTGAATGGAAATAAATTTTATTGCTTCAGATTGATCATAATTATGAAACTAAAGACTAAAACTTGGTTTATCTGTAGTATTCTTAACTAATTGCAAGCGGTTTATAATGCGAAAAGCCTTTGTCAAATTTTCTGCCAGTTACAGAAAAAAAAGAAAACGCTAACTGAAAATTCATAAAAGTTGTTCCGGGAAATTAATTATTGAATAATTTGGGATCACCTAAAAATCTCATTTAAGATTTCAAACAATGATCAATGAACATTTTCAGATTCTTGTAGTTTCATGTCAATTTCACAAGCATCTATTACGCTCTCGACTTGTGTACCAGAATAGCAATGTAACGTTTAAAAACAATTTTTATTTTTTGTTCTGCTGTGAATGAGTTTAATAATGAAGAAATATTAGGAATAGGTCTTCATAGTTCTTACTTATTACAACTTAACCAACTCTTATCATTACTGCGCCATCTTTTTCATAGATATTAATGACATACATTTTCAAATATTCTGTTTTGTAACTCAACATTTAAATCAGAAGACCATAAGAATTTAATTTATCAATATGTATGAAATAGGATACACACATAATCCTACTATTACTAAACTTTCATTACCTCATTCTATATGCCATTTTTGAAGCATAGATCTAGACTAAATGTTTCAAAGGAGGAGGTCGCGCCCAACATTCTTGAAACACTCTGAATACAAACATAAAAAGTGTCCATCTAAATTTTCATATAGTTCATATATGATTTGCTGATTAAAAATATACAAGTATAGTTTTCATACATTAAACTAGATTTTGACTATTTAACCAGTGTTTCCCTTTAGCGTTAAAATTTCAGTTTAAAAAATGTAGTTATTTTTAATGATAACTATATCATTTAAAAAATAACAAAAGATTTTGATATTTTGTGAACACATATCTTGTAGTTAAATGCCACATAATTTAATTTAAAATGAGAGATTTTTTCTTAGTTTATCTAATTAAGTTTATAAGCAACTAACTTGAATTATTCCATCTAACCTAAATTTACAAGCAATTAAATTTTGCAAAACTAAAAAAACTTTCCTTTTTGGCCACTGAGGAAATTAAATGGATATTTTAAGAACTTAAAATAATAAAGGTAAGGTATATCATATAATATTCAGATCAATGACTCACCCCTCCTCTTACCATTTTGTTTTATTACTTCATAGTACTTTACATAGGCTTTTCAGGTGTTATTTAAAATTCTGTTTTTTTTTTTTTTTTTTTTTTTTTTTTTTTTTTTTTTTTGTGAATGGATGCATACTTTTATCTATGTTCCCTAATGGGAATAAAAGTTCAATAAAGATGCTTAATAATAATAATTCTTAATTATTTTAAGAATTATTATTCCTGCCTTGTCATTTCTTAAAACTAATAAATGCTCTCTAGCATCTGAAAAAAAAAGTGGTCTTCTGTCTATGATTTCTTGGACTTTGATAAAATTACAGAAAGAGTTTTCAAGAAAATACATTTCCTGAACACCTACGGCGTTAAGCAATGCTTAAGATTTCAATTTCAGGTTCATATCTGAGCATCAGTTAATCTAAATTTTTGTTGTTAAAGATTCTTGTTTCTTCGATTTCAGGAGCCCTCGAGACTTATTCAATGTCTTATTTATCAGATGAGCTTTTCTTTTATTCAAATTAATGATTATTTTAGTTACAAATGCCTTGGTTTCTTTTTATTAAATCATATTCTCCACTAAGGAACAAATAAGAAGTATTATTATCATAATACTTTTATGTCGAGGTCACCCATAAGGCCTATCTCTCTCCTGCATTCTAGCACCACTTTAGCTTATGTCCAGCCATGTCATTTAGCTTACTTCCTCTGGCATCTTTTACAATTTTCCTCCAAGTAAACTTCGCTTGGCTTACGACAGCCTCGTGGATATGCAGTGACTGTTATTATTAATATGTTACATTCAGGTTCATGTTGTGTACGCAGCACCTCCTATTTTAAATTTTGCCTTTACTATTATATACAGTTTAGAACTACAAATAATCAGTAGCCAAACCATTTTAACAGAATAAAACGGAAGTATTTCGTCTGATGAGAATTTAAAAAATTTTATGAGTTTTTGATAACTTTCGTGTTCCTCCCTTTTATCTAATAACTAAGTGTGGAGGAACCTAGTGAACAGCTGAACAGAAACGCAAAAATCACGAAGAGTTAATTACCCTTTATTGCTCAAAATAAGGATTAACAGATGGCCTCTTTCTCAGGACGTACACAAAGCCTCCACTTCGGCATAAACACAAAATGATAAGAAATAAGAACTTAACTAATGACTAACTAAAATGATTTAGCCGATGCTAACACAATTCAAAGTAGTTGGCGCCTAAATATCGAATTGGCGAGCGAACCTATCAAGGGCCCGTACAACGGCCGAGCGTAGTAACAGCTTAGAGACATGTGGCTAAAAGGCAAACGCTAGTCAGAAATTCTGCTTCTCTCTCCCGAAGTCAGTGGAACTTCGACTCAGATACTACTCAATCTCATTTGCATTAAACGCGATTCTAAAAACTCATTCTGGTAAGGAAATTGTAAGCTGAATTTAGGAGAGATAGGAAAGGAGCTTAAAAATAACTGCTATAAACTTACAACTTCTAAGCATTTAATCTGTATAATACAACTAATTTCGAAAGACTTATAAATTAGTAATTTCAATTTTAAAGTAACAGCTTTAAGGTATTCCATACTTTATTAGTGTTCGAAAGGCATGACTATAAAAAGTACCTTACACGTGTTACCATAAAGAGCAATATTAATACAGCAGAATGAACAATTAGCTATTGTAGCATAGATAGGTCTTCCTGTTATCCAGCTAGTTCAGGAATGAGATTTAACAAGATCACATGGACAAGAACAGATACTTTTTACCTGTGTACTGGTAATCAGCGACTTTTTTTGCTAGTATAATGAGAAGAATCGTAATGGAATGAGAGAAGAATGGAATGAGAATATTCCTTTCATTCAAATATTGCATTATTTTTACTCGGCAATACGATTATATAGCTTTGTTATTTTAGCTTGTGGTGCAGAACTGAATTACACGGCACGATGATAAGAAATGGCACGATGATGATTGTCATATTTTAAATGGTATTTTTGTATTTTAGGTACCGTGCTTTTTTGTGAATATATATGCTATGAAAAACTTACATTTGTTATATCACAAATCTAAGAAAAGCGTTACTTCAGTTCATTAGTGCAAGTAACCATCATTCATAGAATAAGTTATTTTGAATGGTAGTTCCGGAAATACGCTTTCAAGAAAAGTGAAACTATATAGAAATGCATATGCTGCATTTCTATATACGAGGTTTTTCTAGGCTTCCCTTTAGTGCTGCAGAGGGCACATGATTCTGAAGCTTTCTTTGTTAGCTATAGTCTAATTCGGGTTTTAGTACTCACTGAATGTTTTTTGATGCCGTTTAATGCTGCAAAGTAAACATTACATAGATCATATTCCTCAGTAACAACAGAAAAATATAAAATATATTATGTGTAAAGAAGAAATAAATAGAGTAAGCAGTTAGTGATCCCCAAAAAAGTTAACATAATTTTGCAGAATTAAATGCTGCTTCAAATCAAGCATTGCTTATAATTCATGATTGATCTCTGAGTGGTATTAAATAGGAAGATAAATTTAAAATTAATTTTTTTCGTCCTCATAGCTGATAATGGAAATTAGCAAACGCAAGAAACAATTTAGCAACCCACTTAAGATCTTGTTTTTAATTTGGAATAATTATTCTAATGTTGATCTATTTCTCAATTAGCGACTGCTGACGAATAGTAATACAGAAAGCAGTCTCACGGATTGAATAGTCGCATTTTTTTGGAAAATATGTATGAAAAATGTAATGGTGAATATGTATGGTTTATTTGGAAAACTTATTTTCTGCAGGATATAAGAAATTATTTTTCTCGAAGCACTGAACTATTACTTAATTTTCATTTTCCTCTCAAAAGATCTTAATACATTTTGAATGGTCAACCATTTACCGATTAGATTTTTGACAGGAATAATGATTGAAACCATGGGTCATTTAATCGATTATCCATCGACAGCTTTGCCCGGCAACGAACTTGTCTAGGGCAAGTTAAGCTAATAGTGAAGCAATATCTGGGCGAGTTAGGTTATAAGATGCGTCTTGTCTAATTGAGTTAGGCCCTTAATCAATCAGTATAGTTTCACATTTTTTACTTTCTTAAAAATAGAACTCATTGACATAAGTCCAGAATGAATGAATGAAATGCTGGGGATAATTGGTAGGAGAAAAAGCTGAAGCTTAAATAGTGAGCGAAATAAATAAAATCCTTCTAAATTATAAACTGTTTTTTAACCTAAAGGTTAATAATAATGAAAGCAACGTAAATAAAGACACATGTCCAAGCTGATTTTAAAATACAAATTTTATTTCAATAATTTAAGAAATTCCATAGAAAAATCTAATAGCAAATATAAAAAGATCACATGGTAAGCTAAACCACAGTTAACGATTATTATATAATGACTGTGAATTATGAAAATATTTTTTCCTTTTTAAAATGCTAAATACAATATTTTTAAAGACAGGAATTAGAGGTTTTCTTACCATGATGCATTACTTACATAGTTACTATATTTAGGTCTTTGCTAATGACAGTCAATATAATACTGAAAAGTACGTTTACATGCTGAAAGCCTATTAAAATTTGAAAAACTTATTTTATAAGAAATCATTTGTCCCTGTTTATAAATTGTTTTTATTTCAGTATCAAATAGTCATGAGTCTACAATTATTTTCTTTTTCATACACTACAAAATATTGAGATTAGTAGAAAGTCAGATGCACTTTACTATTTACATTTCACCGTAATCGTCCCAGATAGTCTGATAATAGAATTTCAAACTGTGTTTAAAAATACATCACTAATCACAGTTTCAGCAGGCACCCAGTCTTATTTAAATTATTTCAAAAATATGTCTAAGAAGAAAATCTAATGTTTATACAATACATCGCAACTATGCATATTATGCTTGATTAAAATTCGTATTATCTATATTATTTAAATGGATTTCTGTAAGCGTTAATATCATACCAGTTTACAGATAATAAAAATCCTTGAAAAGGCAATAGTTTTATGTTTAGCACAGATATTGCGCGTAGTGTCTATATTAGAAGAATCTCGAAAAATGTGCTTTTTGAACTGATCATTAGTGTCTTAAACAAGCGATCCTTTCTGACAAAAATGGCTTTATTGCATACATTTCCATTGAATTTGAGTGTTTCAACTGATTTTAAAGAATGAAATTTTGCTTTTTATCATTCTGGGAAGGTACTTCTTCAAAACGAGTTAGAAAGGTATGGAGCAATTAATTATTATCATTATTAAAAGAAGTAATTGGAATAGGAATTTAATTAATTTAGCATTAATGTAAGTTGCAGTTTAATAATAATAAATTTGGAATTTATACTGTATTTATATGAAACTTTATTTACATTAACATATAAACACGTATTTATATATTTATAGATGAATCTAAAACTGTATAATTGTGTGATGTTTTTAACGATGCTATTATTTTCGGAATGAAATCAGTTCCATCTTGATTGAAAAAAAGCTTTTTTTTAACATATTATACACCATTTATTAGCCTTAACTGTTTATTTATTAACCAAACACATATAGTAATAATTACTTTTGAAGCATGAACTGCATTTCATAAACAGACTCGAATTTTGATAGTATTCGCAATCTCTATGAAGTGCAACATTCTTTTAATTTTTCTTCAAGAGGTAATTTTTATATAGCGTACTAAATAGGTAAGCTATAATCCCGTGTAACAATCAACTACGCTTCATGAATGTAAGGGGTTAATAACTTCGCATTTGATAACAACTTTGTTTTCAGAGTTCTTTACACATTCAGAAATGATTTTCTAATCTTGAAAAAGTTAACACGATTATCTTTTTCTGGCTGCAGAATAATGCCAGTAATCAGCTCAAGCTGTATCTTCGAATTTATACATGAAATTAATGTTATATGATTTCAGTATTAATTACAATGAAAATATTTCCAAATAATAAATATGTTATGCTGTACAGAATGAAAAAATGCTACTTTATTTTCATAAATTTTATATACTGCATGGAAATTTGTTTATCCGAACAGAGTAAGATAAGATCTGATATGTACAAATAAAAATCCAATAATTTGCGAACAGAAAACAATAATTTTAAATTACATGAATTTTAATGCACGTATAATTAATTTCACACATGTAATGGGGAACAGCTATTTCAGCAATACATAATCACTACAAAATTGGCCATTTTCCGTCTTTCAGACTGAAAAATTGTTAAATCTCAATAAGACATTTTCGACTGTACTTTAAGTAGTTTAATTTTGCATTTGTTTGAATGCATTTATTAGAGAAATGTGGCCATTCAAGAGTTCTCAGATGTTTATTTGACTTGAATGTTAATTTTGAAAGATATCTTTCAGATATAAAAATTCTATAAATATAATGTAGGATAGATTGGTTGTTCGGATACACGAATTTCTGTTAAATTTCCAACAATAATGCTATTTTCTAAGGAATTGTTTGTTCATCACTTACTCTGACTTCACTCTTTTTCAGTTCTTGAACATGGCAAGTGTATTCATGAAAATATTCAATCTTATATGCATGATGCTTCTTATCGGACACTGGAGTGGATGCCTTCAGTTCTTGGTGCCAATGTTACAAGGATTCCCGCCCAATTCTTGGGTCGCCATCAACGAACTACAGGTTTTGATGCGCCTTAAATCATAACTAACACTGAGGTTAAAACTTCAAGTCATGTAAATTACTTTAAAGGATTAACAAGCATTTACAACTAAACTGATAACGAATTTATTTAATTATGATAAATTTCCAATAATAAAAGGAAAAAAATAAAAATATTGATCATTAATTCAGGAAAAGATAATTATTTTTAATGTAGGATATGGTTCTTGATTTCTCAAGCTATGAAGTATTTTTATATCTTCAACGCTTTACTTGAAAAACAAGAATTTTTAAGCTTTAATGTAATAGCTTTCTTTTAAAATGTTTCTTCGTTTTAGTTTTAAGGAATTCTATCTTCTATGGAATCACAAAACTGCTTTTTTTAATAGTATAATGTTATTATACTCACAAAAATTTCATTTCTTTAAAGTTTCACTTTGTGAACGGTTTAATTAAATACCATTTCTCAATAAGTTAACTTTTATATATTTTAATTAAATATTCTGATTGCGATTCACCTTAACGAATGGAAATATCGTTTGTTCAGATGTTGGGAAGTACGCAATATTAAATTTGATCTCCATTTACTATAAGAAAGAATAATGCTTTTTAAGCAGATTTGAAAAATTCTTAGTTGCCTTAAACCATATTATAATTTTGCGATCCTTTGTTATATTTAGTTCCAGACGCTTTTAATAGCAGTTTCACTTAAAAATAAGTTTCAGAGAGTTAATAGCGAAGAAAAAGAAATATCAGTGCATATTTCATTTTCTTCTTTCCTGAAAATTCATGATAATATAAAAGAAATAATTTATTTTAAAATAGTGAACTGCAAAAGCAAAGTTTATTTTCATATTTTTAACATATAAATTACCGCATGGCCTAGACCAATGACCGCTTCAAAATGACTAAGCAAGCAGATACATATATCCTAATATAAATATGCTTAATTATCATAAGGGCTACTTCTTATTAACATATTTAAATGCCAAGTGACTCAAAATATGTTAAAATTTGTGCTTAGAAATATGTGTAATAACAATGCTGTTCTGCAATAAATGTCGCTTGAAATTTAGGTCGTGTCTATATCTTTATTGAGCGCCGTTTTGAAATTAAGGTAGGTCTTATTCAACGCATTATTTTTCTACACTTTTCAACCCAATAATTCTCTTATCTGCAAATTTAAAATCCTAACTCTATTGAATAAAATATTTATGACACTGAGTTTGGAAATCTGATCAATTTCAAATATAGAAAGTGCTTTTGATAATGAAATGGAGACCTTAATTTCATTACGACACCGAAATATATTAAACTGATTATCAAATAACACTTAAATTATTTTGGCTTTGTTCACGCAAAACCCTCTACCAAATAGCCTTGAACTGATCGGAATAACTGAGCAGCTTTAAAATAAACACAGTTTTTCGACTCGTTCAAATCCCTCATCCGCTTACCGACAAGTCATTGTGAAAAATAATACTACAATTTAATTTCGAAGCAGATTTTCGTGTAGCATTTGTGAGCCCTCCAGCGGCCGAGCGGTAAAGTCGCTGAACACTGGTAGTTCGGTCCGAGGTTCGAATCCCGCGAACGGGCTGGCTGCATGGGTGTTTTCGTGGTTTTCCCCCATGTGTAACGTGTATACGAGCCAGTTTCCCTTAGAAAGTCCTCTACGAAGGCATCCCTTAGGCAGATAGCCCTAGTGTGCTTTGCCATAATTAAATACACCGTGTAGTATTTGTCACCACCCTGCTATAGTTTTCAAGGAAAAATCACAGAACTACAGAATAAGGAAAGTCATTCTTTTCAATGTATTTTCCAAAAGCTGTAATACCTCTTGCAGGATCAGGGTTTGGAGACTATTTTTCTTTTTGAAAGGATTAATTTTATATAAATGGTCTTCAGTTCGAATCGTATTTTTGAAGAAACTTAAATTGCAACTTACAGTCTCTCGTTAGAGAAGTTCTTAAAAAATCAGCTAAATCAAGTTTTTATAAACAATAAACATAACTTTCAAATCTGTAATATGCGGTTATTTTTCAAACATTTTCATGGTTTTGCCCATGCAGTTTAAATGTGATGTACAATTCTTTGACGCATTATGATTGATTGAATACTTATTAAATCTTTAATATTATTTTTATACTTATGCGTAAAAAGGTTTAGAGTACCTTATTAAATTAACAGTATACTGTAATTTTTTATATTATCTGTTTTGATAAAAAGCTTAAAATATTATTTACTGAAATTACAGCATTTAGAAACAAAAAGCAGAAAATTAACCGAAATTCATATCTTTCTAACATACAATTAGAATGGTATCGAGAGAATTTCTGAATCCACAGCTACTTTAAAAAAAACTGCATTCTGTTTCAAAAGCCCTCTTAGCAAATTTTTCAATTATGTATTGGAAGAAATTTATCATAATCGAAGATTTTTAAATATGAGAAAGTTAACAACTTTCATAGTGATAATAATTATTAAAGGATTTTAATGATTTAAGTACAATCATATTATAAAATAATAGTATGACAACATTTGAATCAGAAATATATGACAGCATTTGAATCACGATTAGTAGATTAGTAGCATAAAATTAAATCATTTGAGTTTATGTATATTTAAGTTTTCTAACATTGTTTGTTTATTATTACAACAGCATGCCTTCTGGCTGGAACAGTACTCATGGGCGCTGTTCAAAGCCATGTCCCATATGTTATGCATCGGCTACGGGAGATTTCCGCCACAGAGTCTGACCGACATGTGGCTAACTCTACTCAGTATGATCAGCGGCGCCACATGCTATGCTCTGTTCTTGGGGCACACTACAAATCTAATACAATCTCTAGATTCTTCAAGACGGCAGTATAGAGAAAAGGTAAGAGTATTTCCATTTGAAAAATTTTCTAAGCTTATTATTGAAAAGTAGACTGAGTCATTTGAAGTGTATGCACGGTCAAGTCCGATTAGCGGAGGCTTGTTTCAAATCGAAACCATTTTCGCAATAGTACATACTGAATACTATAAAGAGCTTTCAAAATGCTTTGTATGGCTACCTTTTCGAAGCACACTTTGAGAGCTTTAAACAATATTTAATGTGCGGAATCATAACCAGAATAATGATCGTTAGGAGAAGGATAGAGATGAAGATATATATGAAATGCAAAAGTACAAAATATATCCCTCTGCCATACAAAAGGTATATAGGCAGTGTATGAGGCAGGAGGACTATCGAAAGAAATATTCATATTAATTTATGAGAGAAGAGATCCTTAAAAGAATTCAATTTTTATTTGCTTTTACACGGTTGTACACTACTTTAAACATCAATTCCTAAAACCGTAAAGATAGTCAGACGACTTATCGTCCTATCGTAACTTCTATGCAGATTATCACAAATCAAATGAAGGTTTAAAATAAACCCTTCTATTTACTCCTCAGCTTGGTGGTTACACATGCTCTTCAAAAACATAAAAGTAAGAGCCCCTGTTTGCAGGAAAATGTTGAACAAATGCTAAGTCAAATTAAAATCTTGAATACAAAAGTAATTCATGCTTATTTAAGCTTTGGCTCAGCCACCAGTCTTTTATGAAGCAATTAAACTTAGCAAAATCTTAAATTACTAAGTGGATTTAAGTAATACAAAACAGTACAAAGAAGTTCTGGCAGAGTATCTGGCGAGTAACATCTGTCAAAGTTTCTCTCTCCAATTTAAAAAAATGGCCTTAAATATATTGTTGCGTTTTTTCATTCTTCTGACACCAGTTGTTACGTTATTTTCTTCCTTCACGTTCGTACGGGGTTCGTAGATTTGGAGTGAATAACGACGACACTTGATGAAGTATCGAAACACACTTTATTTAGACAATATTAATCAGAACAGCTCGAAAACACGTTTTACAGTCGTCGATGAACTACTATAAACACGCTGACACGATCAGCGACACAGCCTTCAGGTTATCAGGCTATCACAGTGGAGACAGCTTCCTGCAAAGCAGCCGACTCTGCTTTCCGGAGTACAGCTCCCGACTCCGCTTGATCGTTCTCCGAACTCCACGTACTCTCGAGACTCTCCACGCTACAACTCGCGATGCACTCGATGACCCATTCGGCACTCGTTGCCCGGCTGTCAACTCGATCGACTCCGCACGGCTCGCTAGACGAGGCCCACTCTCTGTGAGAGACACACACTAACTGACTGCGGACCAGCAGGGTTTATATAGCTTTTGGCCTGTGCTCGAGAACATTCTGGGCTAAACCGGTAAGAATTCGTTCCAGAAGGTTCTCAAACCGTCCATGGTATATCGCCAATTTTGTCGCCAAATGGGCGATTTCTCGCCAAATATGGCAACTCTGTCCTCCTTGCTATTTTATGGCAATCCTAAAACTGCTTTGAGGGGAAGCCATCTCACCGCGCCTGTACATTTCGTAACAATATTAAATAATTTGTATCCTGGTGTAACTGACTAAAGTACAAGTGAAGATAAGCAAAATCATAAGATAACTAGGTAAGAAACATAAGACCCTAAGACATATTTATATCTTAAGGTCTAAATATTATATTTAGACCTTAAGACATATTTACATTTATTATATCAATGATACATTGATACCTTTTATTATATCAATGTATCAATATTACCAGCGGGCTCAACATCAAACAGCTAAATTAACACTTGTTCGATAAATATTAAAAATAAATCAAAAATCGTTTTATAAGTATTTCTCCCGCCGTCTTAGCGTGCCTTCGTGGTGCATTGAATATGCGTCAGCACGCTCGACGCATATTCGAGAGGTCTGTGGTTCGAGTCCCGGCGAGGGCATTGCTCATTTCTCATCTCTCCTGCTTCGAATTAACCTAATGTCTCTACAATTTCACAATAGTTGCTTATGAATCCAAGATCTGCTATTGTATCTTAGACAATATTGTGTGCAATGCAAATTATGCACCATTAATATATAACTGTGTATTGCGAATGCTGCAATGTAAACAAATTCCCGAGCTTGGTGTTAGCGCCCCCGCCCGGTCAGGGTACATTTCCGTAGATAGTTAGTGCAGTGGGGCGATACCAGTTTTGCCCATGGCGATGTTTTGGTGCCCCTTGTACTTCTTTCTGTCTGTCTGTCTATTGTCTGCTAACATAACAGAAGTCCTGGTTTCGTAGCTCATACACTTAACGCGCGTATTGCATTTTAATTTGATTGATTAATTTCAAATCTGTTTAAACACTTAAAATATTCTGATGCCAATTAGTTAATATAATCGCCTCTCTGCGAGACTCCATGATACTGATTTGCATTGCTTAAATCGACTTAGATTACAGATTTTGTTAAGCTTAATTGATTCATGAAAGATTGGTGGCTGAGCCAAAGCTTAAGTAGGCGTGATTTACTTCTGTATTAGACATTTTAATTTGACTTAAAATTTGTTCAACGTTTTCCCGAAAACAGAGGCTTTTACACTAAAAATCTTCATTTTGCTGTATTACCTTTAAATAGCACAATATTACAGTCCTTGCAATTATTTAGTTAGTTTAACAAAAAAGAATCTTCTTTGATTAGTTAAACTAATATTTTTTAACATCAAGTAGCATTTAATATACTCAAGAATATTCTATAAATAATGTTTTGAATCGTCTAGTGTTTTCACCATTAGAGTAGATTGCTTGATAAAGCTAAATATTGAGTGTTTTCTAAATCGTCACGGAGAACAGATAACAGAATATATTCTATTGAAACTGCTTAAAATTTTTCGAGCACTCACTTATATTTTTTTAAATATTATATATTTCATCTAAGCATATGATTTGATGCTTATCCATATTATGTGATTCCTAAGTTAGCTAATAATTTTTCCTTACTTTAGAACTGTTGAAATAATTTGTATTTATAAATTTTTCGGACTCCTTGAACAATCCAATTCAAAAACAATTATCGCAAATGAGTCCCTTGAATAATTATCTCAATTAATTTATCATTAAATATTAGATATGCTACTCACAAAAATTAAGGGATAATCTGAGAAAATATTCTCACTTGTACTATAGTAAGGCCTATTTTCAAATTACAGTAAAAAACAGAATAAACTGTTCGATGACTAGGAAACAAAACGTTAATAATGCGAAACAGTAAGTGTGAAGTTTAAATTTCAAAAAGCTGAAAAATCGGTCTTATAGTTGCAGGATGATTCGTTGCAATTAATATAAGGATAACGTTTGAATAAAATAACAATTAATAAGAAAATTCATGCGTTATTTTTAATTTCAGTTTATTTCCTAATTTTGATTTTTGCAAGTTACTTATCATTTTTTATAAATTCCAGAAAGACATTTATGAAAATTATTCTATGATATCCTTCCAATGAAAAGCAAAATTTTCTCTAAACCTCCCTTAACTACTAAACAACCAGCTTAGTCATTATTTCTGAAGCTAGACATTCTGACACTTTGAAAGAAATTTTAGACAGCATGATAAAATAAAAAGATATTACATTTAGCCTTTAATATAAGTATTTAAGTATTTTGCCAAACTAGTGATCAACGAATTTTTATCATTGTTTTTACCTAAATATCTGTGTACAAAATACTTTACATTTCCCGAAATACAAATTAAAGCTACTTTTAATTATCTCATAAACACTACAAATCATAATACTCCTTCGAGATCTTTTCAAATAAAAATCATTTCTTGAAGATGATTTAGTCACTCTCCAGATAAATAAAATATTTCTTTTTCAATTTCTATGCTAAGAACTCTAGTTTAAGTAAGAACTCTTACTCATTTAAATAAGTAAATAAATAGAAGAGGACTAGCCTTTTCTCGAGAATTCTCGATCTCAGTTAATTGCTAATTAATTCAATCTCAAATAAATAAATAAGTAAAACAGTGCTTAAAACTAAGAGTATCAATTATTAGATTAAAAAAAAGAGATTCAAAACCTTGTTCACACTTAAATACAAAATAGAGAATTTTCTTTTCTTAGAGTTACTTTGAAATATTCCTGATTTCATTCTGAATGAGTTTTTTTAACTCAGATTAATTTATTTTATTTTATATGAATTGCATATCTAATAAATATCGATATATTGCGAAGTATTTAATTTCTATTATCGTAGAGTTCATTTTAAGTTTCAAATTCTAACAACTGCTTACACGCAAACGCTATTTTACATATCCTTTTCTACGCTTCCTCAATCGCTTTTGCTCACATATTAGTTCGCTTTTTGAAGCCTACGTTTGATTTATTTTTCATAATATTGATAATTTAATGAAATTATTTTCTTATTTAATGCTAATTTTTTACTACTTATGGACTCAAAAAGCTTTAATTTGATTACTTTGCATGAGTATATGAATGTACTTTTTTCACAGATGTTGTTGTAAGATTTTTATTCATATTATAAGCATTTATTATATCGAATTCCCATATTATTTCGCCGCTTACATGTACAAATGAGTTAACATTTTGTTTTATTACTTTCACTTCACCTATATATACTTATGTGCTATTTACACAGATCTTATAAGATTTTTATTTGTAAATATTTATAGCATTCGCCCAAGCATATGATTATGCTTTTCTTCCACTCTTAAAATGCTTTTGCTTCTAAAAATACTCATCTTATAAGGTACTTTATGTTAATTAGGCAATTTTTATAGTTGAATCTTTACTAAAATTTTCTCATTTCGTTAGCACTCACCAGGATGCAAATGAGATTTAAGAGACGAAACTAAATCATGCCATTAAAGTTATGACCCAGCTTAGTTAGGTCAAAATTTTATAGTCTCGGTCTACGATCCTTTTTTAAATTGTAAACTCATCTTTAGTAAAGGTTCAGCTTTATGTTTCCTTATTCGTAAATGACGGAGTTTTGAGTGTACGCACAAGGTGTACTTCTTGTTCAATTAAGTTCTTTTTTAAGTAATAAAAAAGATTTATATCAAACCTTCATAAGACTTCGTTGTACAATTTAAGATGAAGCTATAACCGCTTGTCAGTCTAATAGGATCTAAAGGACTTTCAGTTAATATTACACAGTTTAATCCTCTAATCTTAGCGTTCGAAAAACATGTTAAGATAATATATACTCATTCCTTAACTTGTACCTCAAGAAACAAATTTTCCCTGGGGTTTTCTCCAATCTTAGTCCTAAGGCCATTTTATTAGCCTTGCAAAATTATTTTATTTACTTGCAAAATATCTTCAACATATGTACATACATGTATAAGGTATTTCTCCCGCCTTCTTCGCATGCCTTCGTGGTGTGGTGGTCTGCACGCTCAGCGCGTAATTGAGAGGTCCGTAGTTCGATTCCAGGCGAAGGAGTTGCAACTTTTTCATTTCTCCTGCTTCCAAAAAATACCAAATGTCTCTACACATGTGTGAGCGCCTGACTTAAGTACAAGCGCTTTTTTTTCTTATGAAACACCTTCAAAAATGTAATTCTTGCTCTATTAAGATATTAAAAATTCCGTGAAACATTTTAAAACTTCATAACAAACAAGTGTACAATCGATAGCCAAATTTATCCACTGAAGTAACAATAAACTCCCAGAGCTTTTTCGTCATATTTTACAAGTGCTCGTTTTTATTGAGACCGAACATATTTATATTATAATGTGTTTATGTATGCCAGTGTATCATGGTTGAGTAGTATCACGGTCGACACATGACAGTGCAATCACTCTCGAGTGATATGTTTGCGAAGATCGTGGACAACAGCGGTCGTTTAGTACAAAAACAATATCCTTGAAAATCATTCTACAAGAAAAGGTAACATGGGATTAAATGTGAAGACTGCAGTCGTCATCATATTAACGCGTTATTTCCTCCTGATGTGTATTCTATCGGCCTCTGCGGCGAATCTTGATAGATATATACTCTCAAATATTGTCTGCATCTGCGGTAAATTTTATCTTCCGTATAACGCAATTGGTCTTGATGATGATCTCTGTGGCAATAGCTTGAACAAGTAACTTTAAAAGAAACAATCATCACTGTTTTCTTTCAAATGTAGCTTCAGGTAGTTTTTCAGAATATTAAGGTCAATTTTATCAGTAAACCGCTGATCTCTATTGCTTCAGCAGAAACTAACACATTGAGCATTTGTAAAATATGTAAAAGAAGTTACTCAATTTACATCTACTTAAATGCTATGAAATTCGGTTGCATAGTTTATTTCCTAGGGATTTTAAAATGTTTTTCGAAATCAGACCAATAAGTTAATTTAAATTTAATCAGATCAAAAGAGTTATTTAAGCATTATTCCTTAATTTGGATAATTCTGACATTTTTATATAAAATTGGTCTGATAATTAAAAAGACACAAGTATTAGGATCCAAGAAAAAAACGAACATAGCGTAACGGTTCCGCACAATTAAAACTGAAGCACTTATTCGTATTATCGTATTTAGTTCTTTGCTGTAATCAGTTCGAAGAAAATGATGAAGGACATGGAATACTTTAACTAGAATAGCGTTCCATATTTTTTAATATTCTCTTAAATTTTAAATTCCTTCCTCAATACATCATAAGGAGCAACCATCTTTAGCATTTGTACAGCTTTGCTAATTCAAACACGTCTGACTTACAAAAATATGCTTAAAAATCGTAACTAAATTAATATGTTTGTTTTCTTGAATATAATTTATAGGAAGAAATATAACCCCCTTAGAAATAACACCTAAATAGTGTCACATGAAAAATATTTGATTACAAAATTTACTAAGTATTTTAAATACTGTTTAGTTTAAAATTTATACTTACCATATTATTTAAAGAAATAATCAATGCACGGCTTATATATATTACATATGATTGCGCGAATAAATATTTATTGAACTACTCAGCTTACTGATTAAGAGACGATTCCAGTATGGCTTTTAGACTATGTTAGCCAAGTAGTATTTTTAGTATAAATATTTTTAGGAAATTTTTAGATGGGCTTTTGAGGAAAACATTTTTTTTCATAAACTAACCACTTAAACACTACTGATCTACTTGATCAAATAATAGTGATAATATTAAAAATTTCATCATCATTAAAAGTAAAATCACCCGCGATTATATTAATCGCAGTTTTGGGAGACAAGACCATGCACAGACATTTTTAAAGACATCAACGTACGCGAAGTTTTCAAAAGCAGATATTCATATATACATTTTACGTCACACAATTGTGCATCTATAATGATCATGAAGATATAAATATGGATTTCAAATTCTCACTCACTAGGATTTTAAAACTGCTATCTAACGTAATTCCTTTTTTAAATATACTGCAAAATTGAAACATTTCGCTATTTCTTTTCATCAGGAAACGTGTTTTTAAAGTTGTATAATACCGAAGATTTTTTGGAGCCGGGTTTGCATATTACAGACAAAATTTTTAAATTTTTCAAAAAAAGGTATTCATCAAGAGCGATTACTTAGAACTGTTTGTAAACGCACACAGGAAAATTTTAATTACGTATATTTTTAAAAGTCATCCCATCGCCAAAATTATCGTAATCGTGTAAACTTGTTGCAAACTCATATTATAATCTGTAAACCTATTTTATTTGATTGATTTTGTAAGCGGAGCTGTGTATCATATACCAGTTGTTCAAGCGATATTGAATCACGTAATACTTTTGAAACATTTCGCGTATATTGCAGTACATGAACACATATATACCGATTATTTCTCTATATACATAAGTTCAAGTTTAAACTGCAGTGTTTAAAATTTTTTTGTGTTACAATTTAGTTTTTTTTTTTTATAATAAATGCACAAGCATTTATCTCAAAAGACATTTAATGAGGTAGTTCAGTTCTAATTATTAATTTGTTTTAATTATCAACTTTACGGGGGAAGAAGAAATTTGATTATACAATCAAAATAGGGTTTCGGTTCAGAAACTGATAGGAGTTCAGACAGACATACACATAGCTGATCAAGAGATTTTCTGATAGAGGTACAGAGTTCCTTTGCAAAGCACCCTGCATACATGCATATACATGCATATAATATATATATAATATCTAGATAGATAACACAGATATATATATATATATATATATATTACTAGATAGATAGATATATTATATCTAGATATATAACACAGATATAATATAGATATATTATATGTTTATCCATGTTTCTCATATCAAATAATTTTTCATATGTAATTTTATAAATATTTTAAACTTATATTTTTTACAAGTATTACACACTTTAGAGGAATTACATGCAATCATATTGAAAGATATATTACCGAAATAAAATTCTACAATTATTTCTAGTTCTTAATCTAAGTATCATTTATCAGTACATATTTCCTATGGCCTGATTATACAATTTGTTTTCTTCTTTGTACAAGTTATTCACTCTTTTTGACTGTTGTTATATTATATAAGAGAAGAAATAAATACTTCAATTAATCTCTCTAATATTTTCATTTCCTTACAGTTAAAGCAAGTAGAAGAATATATGGCGTATAGGAAGTTGCCCAGGCAGCTAAGGCATAGAATTACGACTTACTTCGAGCACAGGTACCAGGGCAAATTCTTCGACGAAGAAGAAATTCTAGGAGAGCTTTCGGAAAGGCTAAGAGAGGTGATCATTTTTTTTCATTTATAAATTTTTAATTAAAATAGAATAATAGATTCAAATTAACTATTTATAACTTATGCAAAGTATTTTTGAGCATTCAAGGTAGAAAATCCTTTTTACTATAAGATTTTCTAACTTGAATGCTCGAAAATACTTTGCATAGGTTATACTGTAAATACTATATAGATAATTATATAGTATTTATAATTATCATTAAACATTATACGGTAAATACTATATATATATACTGACATCTATATAGATATACTGACATGATACTGTAAATACTATATAGATATACTGACACATTATACTGTAAATACTATATAGATATTTACTGCAGTATTTAACCACAATTTAGATAGGTTAGAGTAAGTTTCAGATTAGTCATTGTTTAATTTAACAATTGTTAAAGCAAATAAAGTAATCATATCGAATATTATAATCATTTAAAGTGATATCTCATTTTATACAACATAACGTGTCGAACCACATGAGAATAATGTATTTTCTTAGAAGCCATAAAGCAATTACAGTTGCTCTTCTACTGTCTACATTTGTTTAGCCCTTTTATGCTTTAAAACTACATAAAGTATCTACTCACTAAATCGTTTTCTCCTTATCGTAAAATACTTTCAGTTACTGTACATCACTGACTTCTGTTCAAAATTAGTTCAACATTGTAAGGTCATTCTGAGGGAACTTAATTTTTAAAATTAGAAGTGCCACAGCCCTCTGCAAAGTCGTCAGGAAAGATGAAAGGGAAAATAAATCATTAATAATTAATGTAAAAAATAATTATTATAAAAATTCAATAAAATGTATATAGATAAATAAATTTTTAATAAATTAAGTGAAATTAATGACAATAGGGAAATCATAAAATAAAATATCAGAGTCATCTTATTTGAAACTCTAGATAGAATTACACTTTCAATCAAAACTAAGAAATAGCGGAGCAGGGCTCCGTCTGAATCCATACGCTGAATTGTATTGCATACGATATTGACTCATACAGAAATACTTTATTTAAAAAACTAATACACAAACAGCCTTCAACAGTAGGAATTATTAGAAAATTCTTTTTCTTAATTACCTTCCTAATTGCATTGCTCTGGGCAGAAATCAAAAGACAGGCTCAGACAGGATGTCTGAAGCGCCATCCAACGGCGGGTGCTATCAATTCATAACCTATATAGTAATAGATAAAAGGAACAAAAACCACTCTTTTTCCAGCACTCCAATGGAAAAAGGTACCTCGGTTAAAGCAGCACTAGCGAAAACAGAAAGAACACTAAAAACAGTATGAAAGGAAATTTTAACTAGTAAGTGTAGGTATGGAAACAACCAGAATTGAACTGCAGGTGTTTCTGATCACGACACTTGTTGATAATGCAAACGACTGTTCCCTTCTTCATCTTGTTGTAAATCGTGGGTAGTTAAAATCGCCAGTGCCGAGTCAGCAAATACCTGAGTAACCACTACTGGTACTTTCGGGAATGAGAAATTTATCCGTTTCCAAACAAGCTCATGTAAATTTATTGCACTTACTAAAGGTAAAGTTTCTACCAACGGGTGGGACCTTTTCTTGCTTTAAGGGTTGCTAATTTCATCCGGGTAGTTGCTTTCTGAGGAAAAGACAGGCATTCATTCAAAAGCTAATATTGACTTCCAAGTCTTATTTGTAACTCAAATAAAATTTCAGGAGATAGGAAGAACTTTTCTTTGAAACTCAAGTTAAATTCTATTAAAAACTTACCGGAGCTCATCTCCATTAGGGCTTCGGTCTTATATTGCGATTCATCTCAAAAACTGAGAAATACCGGATACGAACTCCTGCTCAATTTAAGGTCTTCATTTTGAGAAGTTATATAGTTAATCGTTACATAATATGTCTTTGGTATATTTGTTGTTGTATCTGTATTATTTTGCATATTCAAATAACTATTATTGAAGTACAAAGTAAAATAAATCATTAAAAGTCATCTTGGGGAGCAACTTAATACTAAGTTCAGCTTTATTGATCACATCCTTATTACAATTCATACTTCTGAAACATTCGCTGTAAGAAGATTCTTCATTGCTTTCCAGTCTTGCAGAGTCCCAATGAAAAAGGACCTGTACCCTCGAAATCGATTGAGTTCTTGACTAAATCTACGTCAAATACAAGTTTGTTGTTTTGCTAATTTTATATTTCACATTAATTTCTATAATACATCAAAGAACAACCTTTCTCCACTTAATACACTGAGGCCAACCGAACTGTTTTTCTAATTTATTTTATCTTTTGGATATTACTTTATAGCTTTCTGGCATTAAACGTGCATATTATACCGTCCTATCAGTGAATTTTTAGCCGACGGACAGTAATAATTACTTTACTAAATTCAGTTATTCCGTTTGTGTTCTTGAAGCGACCCTAAACTGCAGAAACTTCTAAATGTTTTCTCAGTCCCTAAATTGCCTAGCATCCCCAAATTTTTCATGTCTTTCCGCTTCATGTTTCCAAATATTTCCGCCTTACTCAGTTTTTATGCTTATTCATGTAATGCAATGTAATTTAGTTTTACATAACCATTTAATAATCCTGGAAAGTAGTACTTCTACCTAGAAATTGATCCCTGACAGCTAGAAGCAGAAGACTATGAAAACGTTTTGAATACTTTGATGATTTAGCTATTTCTTTAGCAATATGAATTCCATTTATATCTTTAAACCAGATGCAAGCCCAAAAAATGACTTCAGCTTCTCGCTTTTAGTTTAAAGAGCCGATGGTGTTTAACGCGTAGGATTACTAACGGAAGTGTGAGGATGTTATATAACAAATAAAACTAACAAAAGATAGATTTTACACACACATATAGTTTCTTAGTCCAAAGGAGCAATTTGCCCTGAAGGACTATTAATTTCGTTTTGGGATTTTGCGTTGAAAACTATAAACGGCGAATCACGTTTCAAATTGTAGCCACCAAATATTATCCTCCTGTATTATATTTAAAGAAATTAAATAATGAAGAATCTGCATGAATGTATGCATGTTTCTCGCATTACGATAAAACAACGGTACCTAGAGCCATCAAAATTTGAATAACGTAATCTTCCATAGAATATAGGCATGTGGAAGCCCTAATTCAATTTGAAATTTGATTTATTATCGATTTCATATTATGTAGCACTTCAAGGAATTTTTGATTAACTTGACGATTTCAAACAAACGAGCAATATGGCAATACTACGAAAAAAAAAAACATTTTTATCTCCAGCGCACGAGACTCTGTATCGGAAATTCCAAACATATACTCATTTTAAAATTATTTTACGATATTGCTCTTGAATTGAATTTTATGTTTTAAGTGCGAAGAACAGTATATTTAATAAATAAAGGTAACACGCAAAACATTAAAAAACGCCCCTTTGGACGTAATTTAAAATCTGAAACTTTTCAGATTTAAATTTTTTAATTTTATTTTATTTTCGATTTATTGTATTTATTCATTCAAAATAACCCTCTGTAAAACTAACCGATGATATGAGAAATAAGATACATAAATTAAGGTGTGCGCAATTATATTCCTAGTAAATGTTAAATCTATTAATGCATTGCCAAATGTACTTGGATAGTTACTTGGCACAATATTGAGATTAAAATGATGTTTCAAATGCCTCTTTACATTTCATTTGACTTCTACGTTAAAATCTCCCATTATAATAATAGGAACATCTGTATCTACAGTAAACTTTTAATCGATCAATACAGTGTAGTCTCCGAATATTTCATCAATGCAAGAACATTTTCAAATCTCCTTAATTAATAGTTGGATGAATATATACGGATGCTAAAATAAATCATGACTGTCCAATAACAGTTACGTCAACCATACAAAATATCGCCTGCTTTTAAATCCTGTATTCATACTTCCATAAATCGCAACACCACTAGCTTGGCAAAATAAAATAAAATACAGTAAACACCACTCGAACACAATGATTCCCTTCGCACCACTGGCTACCAGACTGCATTGGCATTCAAACGTGGTCGCGCATGCGTGCGTACAGAGTTTTGACATCACCAGAACTCCGCTATTTGTGATGCGTTACTATGCATATACCATTTGTCCAATTTAAAAAAAAAATTTGTTTGTTAATGTGCTGTTTCAGCTATCTAATGATGTATTTATATTGGTTGTAACATTTGTAGTTTCGAAAATATAAGTATTCGCTCACACCTTAAATAGCGTCTTAACTTTTGTTTCCCATAAGATCATTATGGAGGAACGCAATCTTACGTTAAAAATTTCATTCCTTATTTTATCTCTGATTATTTCTTTATTCCAGTCTTGATCTTCGCATTTCTACATATATTGATATGTTTTCAAATCATTGTAATTTATTGACAATGGTTATTAAGTCCTAAATTAAATAACGTTTTTGCCATTGTCACAATTAGCTAAACATATTGTTATCTCCACATATTTTACATGTCACATAATGACTGTTTGCTCAGCTTCATCGCTACATTGACAGCAATAACATAAGAATATCTCTACAGGAATTTAGAAATTAGCAGATTTTAAGCATCCCATTCTACAATAATATTACAATCTTGAGTGTCTAGATCTTTTATTCGGATTCAAATCCAGTTGCTATCATGTGACAAACAGCCTCCAGTTGCTGTACTATTTTAAATGAATTGATAAAAGTTCTCTATTTCTCACATCATATGAAAACTTACGTTCAGTTAGCAGTCTTTACCATCATGGAAATAAAAGTTTCACTCTCAACTATTAGAATTCCATGATTACCTGCACCTATTACCTGTGCGTATCATATCATTGTTGATACGAATTACCTTTTGTACGTATCATATCATTGTTGTTAAGAAGGCAAAAAATTAATAATAAATGTAATTGATTTAAATCAGTTAGTCCAGTTGAAAGACATTTTATTATAAATAAATCAATTTATGAAAAGAATGATTTTATGCAAGGTACTTCATATTATAA